TCATAGTTTCCGTTTTGCTGTGTGGCTGTTCTGGGGCCTGTTGAGCGCTTTGAGAGTTAGGCTGAATTGGAATTTCCCTTCCAGATCGTAGAGCATCGGCATAGGAGAAGCCGTTGGTGGTGTTTAGTGGACCGAATGAGGATCTCGCAGCTTTGGCGAAGAAGACGTCTGGCGTGGTTTTTGACGAAACGTACGCATTCTGTGGATTTTGGTTGCGCGTTGCGGTCGCTTGACGCATGCGACTCTTTAACTCCTTATACACAATACATCCTCTATAGTTTGGCGTATGGCTGCCTCCGCAGTTTCCACATTTCTTCACGGTACTGTCCTTGTTTGTAGTGCAGCAAGCGGACTTGTGGGCGTCCCCGCAGACTACACAGACAGCCCGAAGTGTGCAGTAAGACCTTGTGTGTTCATACTCTTGACAATTAGTGCATTGCACTGGACCGTTACGTTTATGTGGCTCTTCAACAGTGATTTTCCGATGCAAAAGATATTGCAGGTTGTAGATTGGGTGGACTTCGTTCTTCTTCAGCGACCTGCTTTCAGGCTCGAGCTCGACCTTGAAGAGGGGTTGTGGCTTTTTATCTTTATTTAAAATGTTAATAACATTCTTGGCGGCGAAGCCCTTTTCTTTAAGGGCGGTTTTTATTTCCTCGGCGGTAACATCAGGTTCTATTCCCTTTACTACCACTTGTAGGCCCTTACTGCTTTTCAGCTGGTACGTGTAATAGTTTTTCTGTACAGTGTCCAGATATTTGGACACGATTCGGAAGTGCTCTTCAGTCTTGGTTTGCACCTTTGTTTCATGGATGTTCCCTTTGATAAGCGGAACAACATGAAAGTTTTCACCGTTCCCGATCAACGACGCAATTTTGTTGACCAGGGCACTCGAGCTTTTTTCCCTAATATAGATTGGAGGGGGCTTGGGTTTTTTTGCGGTGTCTTGGGCTGGTTGGTTTTCCTCAGCCTCCGCCAGTAGGGCAAATCTGTTAGTAGTGGATCTGTCTGGTTCATTATCGTTATTCAGGACACGGTTAATTTTTGTTTTGTTGCCTGCCGGATTACTCTGCGGGCTAAGCTTGCGCTTAATTTGGATGTAGCGATCCATTCCAGTCTGTGTGGCCGTTGCCGCTTTGGCACTTTCCGAGGTTGTTGTTTTTGTACTCGCTGTAGTCGTTGACGTCGTGGTACTCTGAGTTGCAGGGGTTTTCGCTGTTGTTGCAGAAGTTGTAGCGCTGCTTTTGTTGGTGCGAAATTTGTTTCCGATATTGGAGGGGGGTTTTACACTGCGAACTCCATGACGCGGGAGTCGGAGTGAGCAGAGCGGGTGAGCAAGACCGTGCCCTTTGGGTCTCAGCGGTCAGTAAAGCCGGGTTGCTTTTAAGCGCCGATTTTTCCACTTCGGTATCGCGGGTTGAAAAGTAAGAGTAGAAGCCGTTTCTTTGGTTCACTGAACTTCTACGCTCGTTCTTTTGGTCGTTGCTCAATGAGCTCATTGCGTGGTACGTATTTTTTTTTTTCAACAATGCACTAGTTTTGGTTTAGCACATTACAACTGTTATAAAAAAAAAAAAAAGCTTGTCTGTCGCTTTTAATAAATTGTATTTCAGTGTCTTTTCGCTTATATTGGCGAAAATATAAGCGAAGTGAAGTTTTCCCGGAGCTCGGACAAAGCACGTCCGCTCAGTTCGGTAGTTCGATTTCGATCCATCACACAAATCACAAATCCATCTCTGCCCAATGCAGTCTTCAGTCTGACCTTGATAACTTTCAAAAATGGTGTTTAGCTAATGATCTAATACTTAATGGATCTAAATGCAAACATATGTCTTTTTATCGTTCTTGCCCTCTGCAAGCTACTTATTCTATTAATGGGATTGCCTTAGAAAAATTAACCCAGGTTAATGATCTCGGCATCCTATTAGACATCAAACTTAAATTTGCCGACCATATTTCCTTAATGGTTAATAAGACTAAAGGAGTCCTTGGTTTTATCAAAAGGTGGTCAAAAGAATTTAATGACCCCTATATAACCAAAACACTATTCATTTCTTTGGTCCGTCCTATACTGGAGTACGGTTCATGTGTCTGGAGTCCCCAATATGGAGTAAATAAGGACCGCATAGAATCCGTACAAAAGAACTTTTTATTATTTGCACTTTGAGGTCTATACTGGGAGGCAAATCTTCAGCCTCCATCCTACAGTAGCAGACTTTTACTTATAAACTTACCTAGCTTAAGAAATCGTAGGACAATGCTCGGTGTAGTTTTTCTGCATAACCTTATTAACGGGGATGTAGATAGCCAGGATTTACTAACACGTTTAAAATTTAACATTTCTAATAGAAGGACTCGAAACTTTAGTCCTCTGTTCCTTAGCCATTGCTGAAAGACCGCGAAAAAAAAACAATTAAAAAAAAAAAAAAAGAAAGGAAAGCTATTTTCGGGCGGAGACGAAGTTTATACACCCTAGCAGTTAAAACCGGATATACATCGCAAACATCGGATACAGTTGGCCGATCCTTATGGGAATATGAATATATAATCCAATTTATTACAATACAAAATCTAAAAAAATTCCAAAGCTTCTTCCCAAAAAACACCGAAGTTATACCATTTCCGATCGTTCAGCTATATGGCAGCTATAGGATATAGTCGGCCGATCCGGGCCGTTCCGACTTATAAACTGCGTGCAAAGGAAAGAAGAGTGTGTGCAAAAACTTTAAAACTGAGAGACTAGTTTGCGTAGAAACAGACAGACGGACAGACAGACAGACGGACAGACGGACATGCTCATATCAACTCAGGAAGTGATCCTGATCAAGAATATATATACTTTATAGGGTCGGAGATGCCTCCTTCACTGCGTTGCACACTTTTGGAAAAAAATTATAATACCCTCTGCAAGGGTATAAAAATAACAGATATAACAAATAACAGATAAGATTGAGTCCGGCAAACTAAGTGTCGAAATTTCCCATTCTGCGGCGATGCCTCACAGGTAATATATCGAAAAATCCTACGTGTGTCGATAGCTGTTGAAGTATAGAAACTAACGAAACTTGATTTTTTGTTCTACACTGAAAATTAAGGACTTTAGGTGTCCGGCCATGGACCCCCTTAAAAAAAAGAGGGCCTACGAAGAAATGCTGCACAACCGCCATTTTGTTTTCGATTTATTCGAATTTATTCGCCACGTTGTGGCAACACTAACACAAACAAAATTTATATAAATGGCATTTTTTAAAAATCCAACAATAAATATACATACATTGTTTAGTTTTCTATTAATAATTACTGTTAACCGTTTTTTATATCTAGTTTTATGTCGGAACTTTACTGAAAAAACGGGCCTATCTTCGGTTAGCTCCGCAATGTCTAGTCGTAACGCACACTCTGTTCACAAAAAAACTTTTTATTAAGGACCGATTGACCGAAGAAGTCAATGTAAAAGGTATTTTCATTAATATACGATCTTTTCATATATTAAGTTGTGTAACTTTTTGAATGAAAACAATTAACAATTAACAGAGCGTTTAGGGTTTGTTTTATTTATTGAACTCTGTCGTTTGCTTTAAATAAATTGTAAAAATGTTTACTTAATTTAGTTTCAAACTATCTTAATACCATAAAATTAATGTACTTTTTTGTTTAATAAACTCCCTATTTTTAACGCCCCACGGACTTTCACATGCGGAAATTACCTTTTAATCGTCTCTCAAAGAAGAACGGTCCGGAAAGGAGCAAAGGAGAACAGAAAATACTGTTCGTCGGTGGAGCGAGAGAGTTATAATATGAAAAATGCAATCGATTGTCCCCAGACTTTTGACTCATAGTCTAAATGAAAACAATGACAACAATTTACAACAATGAAAAGTTTGTACGCAAGTTATTTTTATCCATAAAAAAACCTATTGAAAATAGTCAGGGACATTGTTTGAATAACATAAATCAATGTTTTACGTTTTAAACGTTAACAAAAAAAAACAAAAATAAAAAAAGCCCACCCGATTGTAGTATCCAAATATTATTTTATAAAAAACATACATGTATATACATGTATATCTTGAATGCAAGATATTCTCAAATAAATACTTTTAAGAAACAAACAAATTGTTTTTTTTTTCTGTACCATATTCGGCTATATTTAAGTTTCCCGAATATATTTTACGCAGTTCTCCTCTCGTCCACTAATAAAACCACTGAAGCAATTCATAAGGGAAGCGGAATAGAAAGAGTATAAGTCCTTACTGGCGCTATGTAAGAACTGGCGCTATAACGAGATTTCCGTTTGGGGGCGGAAGTAGGTGTGGAAATTGACACAAACATGTTCTGCAAGAATACCATACGAGTCCAAGTTCCAAATCGGACAGTTCTATTTTCTATAGTCGATAATATCCATACGTTCACAATTTTAACACTTTTGTATGGGAAGTGGTAAATAAAAGTCCTCCTCTTAAAATCGCCCGATTTGGCTGAATTTTATTTTCCAGATATAAATTAACTAATGAAATAGTTTCACATCAAAAGTTTTTTGAAATATCTTCCTTTACATGTCGCTAAAGAAATATTCGATTTTAAGGGGCGGAAGGGGGTTTCCAACCTTGAACTGCGTTGGTATTATAGAAATGGAATTCCTTACCAGTAGTAAGGAATCTTACGCCGAATCCTATAGCTGTACCTCTTATAGTCTCTGAGATCCACGCATTCATACGGACAAACGGAAGGACGTACAGACGAACATGTCTTTATCGACTTAGCTGCTGATGGTTATCAAAAATATATTTACTTTATGCGGTCGGAAGATTCCATCTTTATATTACATACATACACATGAATACAATATAACCTTGTACTCTACGAGTACCGAGTATAAAAAGTTTAAGGAGAATAATTGACGAATTCCAACATATGTGAAGTGATGCTAGAATCTCTTTTTATATTTTCCTATACTGAAAATAGATATTTATTCAGCCAATTGAATATAAAACAGTAAATAGTGTTTATGAAGCGTAGCTTTATTATTAACGTTAAATTTATATTGTTGACAACAGTTTTCGGAATGAATGTTTATTGTAAACCAATTTAACTTTTTAAATTTTCGAAAATTTAATTTATATATAAATAAACAGTAACAATTTATTTTTAACAAGATTCGCCGATTCACAAATATAAACAAAAGGACAAGCACGCTTCGGGCAGAACCGAAGCTTATATACCCTTGCAAATTTAATATTATATTGAACTCCCAAATTTCGCGAGAATTGTTGGAAATAAACGACCAATAATAATTGTTATATGTAAACGAACCCATTTCTTACAAAATAAATCTCAAAGAAATTATAAAATGACAGGTATATGACAGATAAAAGATTAGTTGACCGATTTTAATAAAAAATTTTAAAATTCGTTAGTACAAATTTAAGTCCATCAAGGGTATACATATGCCAATTACGAGTGTTCAGATCCCAGCCATTCCTACATACATAGGCCATTACTCACTAAGAGTAAAATATATCTTCACATCATCATCCATTAAAACTCAACGACTTTTTTGCATTTAAATAAACAGAAAATGTGTTCTATTTATGTTGACTCGGAAGGTGATCGCAATTAAATCCCAATTTCCTTTAAAAGAGTATCATTTTTTCCTTCACTGCATTGGACGTTTTAGGACAAACTCAATTATAACACTCTGCAAGGGTATTTTTTTTCTCAGGTTTTGTCTATGCACAGCTTTCATATCTTTTTAAAAATGTTTTTAAAACAAAAATTAATCAAAGATAAATAGGATCCTCAATGTAAATAGATACTTTTAAATAAAACATATACGTACAATAACTACATTTTTGTATAAGTACAATGGAATGATCTGTGACTTAAATATTTGTAAGCTTGCATATTTATGTTTATATTTTATATTATAGAATACTCTTAATATAATATTCAACAATAACTCAAAAATAAGTTTATAAACACAATTTAATTTTCTTTTTCATTAAAGTTTTAAGTGAATCCACCACAATGCTTGTTTCACGCATTATTATATATAGATATATTATTTTGAGCATATTTTTGACAATATCATCTTTAAATATAATCAACACGTATATTTTCTGGGCTTAAATCAAGAACTTGGATTTTCACAGGGTTATCTTCGTTTATTAATGAACATTAACGTGTCAGAATAATAATATACTACAATTACACAGAAACAATTTTAAGTTTGTAATTTCTTGATTTGACATCGTGGTTATCTATGCTGATTATGCCGGAATAATATCATAGTTGACGCTATCGAAGAAAGATTTGTTGTTTAAATAGACAGCAAGTCATATTTAAAGGTGAATCGGCTATAGATGCATCTCGGTGGCTCACAATAATTTAACGACGTCTGGCATGATGACATACATATTTTTAAACATTGTTACGGATTTTTGTGATTATTTTACAGATGCGTGGTGTATACATGAAAAAGATAGAAAAAGAAAAAAATCGGCAAAATCAAATGAATTAACTTTATCTTTTGCAATAAAATTGTATAAAACCAACACAAAAATCGGAATTTAAAAAAAATATATATAAATTCTTAAAAATTTATTAATTTTACGTTGGTAATTATGACCACATAATTTTAAAAGATCTTGTTTTTTACATTGCGACACACCTTGCGTGACCTTTTTAAAGAGTATTATAGTAGGCACTCATCACATAACTTTTTTTTATTATTAAAATCTGACTTAAAGGGTTTTACGCAGTTCAAATTTTCCAAAAAATAAAAAATAAAATTTTTGTTATCCTAAATACATACATATGTACATGTCCTTTAAAAAAACTCAATCCTATAAATATTTTCGGAGCTATACATGTACATATTTGTATGCTCAAGTTACAGTTTAAAGCATCAAAGGAAGCCGAAGAACTTTGCAAGTGTTTTTCTCAAAACAGCGTTTCTATAGTCAGTGATTTCGATTTCTCGGTAAACCGATCGGTCTGAATTTACACAATCTTCTTCGATATATTCTCCAGGAAGGAATTTTTTTTGAAAAATGTATTACTATTTTTTTTTTAACAATTTATAGACGCTATAAATAAACAAAGCGCTATTTGTTTTCAAAGTTTTGTTAAAAATTGAAACTTGGTTCAAGAACGTTTCGTGCTACAGAAATGGAATTAGAAAATATTCTTTACTTGATCTACATGCTTTTATCTTCTTTCGTACTTTTTTAAAAATAAGTACGAAATAAAATTTTTCGTACAAATTTTAAGACATTTGGACAACTACAATCGACAAAACAAGCAGCTTTTGATCATCGGTCGTAAAATGATCTATGCATTAACCAGATTTTACCAGTATAAAAGCTACATCCAAGCTCTGGATTTACTTTAAAAAATAAATTTTATATATTTGCCCGACTATATCCCATAGCTGGAATATTAGGGATGCCAAAAATAACACTTCCACTGAAATTTCGCTTCAATTTTACTTTAAGGTATCAACAAAGATTATACAGTACATAGATGGGACATCTCATAGAAACAAGTGTTCTTATATGTATGTACGACAAAGGCTAAACCGATGAGAGAGCACAAGGGAGAATTATATTTTTAGACCGCAACATCTTTGGAACATTGGAATAATAAAACGTTAACATGGACCCAAGAGGAAAGAATCAGATATACCCATCGGTGTTATCTTCTATTATCGTTACTCCGTAAATCCATTATCAAATTCGGCTAGGGTCCTTTTCTAGCGTAAATTTTTTTTATTTACACTTATAATTTTGTTTTCTCTTATTTATTGATACTATAAAAAAACATATATAAAAGAAAACCGCATCGATATCATTTGTCTATCTATAGCTTAATTTAGGGTTATTGCAATATTGTTGCTAAAAACCTTTCAAAAAAAAAAAAGAATGTTTATCAAAAAATAAAAAAAGGAAACAGTTTCCCCATAGAACCTGCGACAATACGTTTTAAAGCCAGCATCTCAACACTCTACACCACAATGCCTATTATAGATGCCTATTATAGTGATAAATACGACCACTATTGTCCTCCTGCTCATTATGCAGAAGCCGATATCGTCAGAAATTGAAGGTTGGAATGTAATGTAAAGAGTTCCAAAAATAGAATCGTATGCATTTTTTTCCTCCTCCCGGACTAACTTGATGAAAAAGTTGACCGTTTGGGCCCAGATGTCCCATCTATGTATGTATTTAATGATCTTTGGTTTCACACACTCTTGTTTTGGGTGATTTCAAAAACACCGCAAATCTTACCTAATGTTGTGCCTAAAATCAGTAATGAAACTTCACCTTTATGTGAAACGTTTGATTGATCCATAAGGAGTGTTGTGGCACCAGTGTATAAATAAACGATTGGAAATGACAAAACTTTGGTGTTTGGTACTCGTAGAGTACAAGGGTTAATTGTAGTCGTGTGAATGTATGTAACATAGAGAAGGAATCATCTCCGATCCCATAAATAATGCATATCAGTTTTCAATCTGTCGTCTTGAAACTTTGCCCTTCTTGCCCGACTTGAAACCCTTCTTTTCTTTGCACGCAGTATATAAGTCGGAACGGCCGGGATAGGCAGACTATATTCTATGACTGCCACATAACTAAAAGATCGGATATGACCCAACTTTCGTGTTTTTGAGCTTTCTACATATAATATTTTTTGCCAATTAATTTGAACAAAAAATTTTATTGGGATTGGCCGTCTATATCTAAAAGCAGCCATATAACTGAAATGTCGGACTTTTGCATTTGTTAAAATACAAAATTGGGTATTTTTGAAGCTAGATGATATTTTTTTTAATTTTGTATTTTAATAAATTGGTTTTATAATAAAGTTCTCATAACAATCGGCCATCTATATCCGATAGTTGTGATTTATACCTGATTATAACTGCAAGGGTATATAAACTTCGGCTCCGCCCGAAGTTAGCTTTCCTTTCTTGTTATACCCTTGCAGAGGGTATTATAATTTTGTCCAAAAGTGTGCAACGCAGTGAAGGAGACATCTCCGACCCTATAAAGTATATATATTCTTGATCAGAATCACCTCCTGAGTTGATCCGTCTGTCTGTCCGTCTGTCTGTCCGTTTCTACGCGAACTAGTCTCTCAGTTTTGAAACTTTGCACACACCCTTCTTTCCTTTGCACGCAGTATATAAGTCGGAACGGCCCGGATCGGCCGACTATATCCTATAGCTGTCATATAACTGATTGATCGGAAATGGTATAACTTTGGTGTTTTTAGAGTTAGAGAGTTCAAATTTGACACGAGAGCTATTTTTGGGCTAATAATTCGAGAGCAAATTATTACGACATGCCAAATTTCATAAGGTTCGGCCGACTATATCTTATAGCTGCCATATAACTTAGGAAATGACCTAACTTTCGTGTTTTTGAAGATAGAAAGCTGAAACTTAATACAGATTCTATTATTGGCCAGTTGATCCGACCTACCAAATTTCAGGATCGGTCGACTATATCCTATAGCTGCCATATAACTGAACGATCGGAAATGGTACTTGGTAGAAATATCAACTTTCGTATTTTTAAAGATAGAAGTTTGGGACTTTTTTTAGATTTTGTATTTTAGTAAATTGGTTTTATTATAATGTAATCATGAGGATCGACCAACTATATCCGATATTTGCGATATATATCCGGTCTTAACTGCAAGGGTATATAAACTTCGGCTCCGCCCGAAGTTAGCTTTCCTTTCTTGTTTTATTATGAAATTCTCATAAGGATCGGCCAACTATATCCGATATTTGCGAAACATCCTAACTTAAGGGGTTATATACCTTCTTTTTCGAAGAAAAAGAGGAAAGTTTGAATTTTTTTTTAGGTATGTAGCAATTATTTAATTACACGGATGTTTTAATATTTTAATAGTACACTTTATTAAGAATGTTTTTACAAAATTTGGTGAAAAAATATTGAATAGTTTTTAAGGGGTGGCTGTTTTCCTTAGAGGCCTTTTTTTTTTTAGAGCCTTGCGGTGACAGTTCCCCAGGTCAAACAGGTCAACTTAAATCATAAAAGTAAAAAAATTTCATTAGTTTAGAGTAATCTCTTGTGCTTGAACGATCGATTTTAAAATTTTTGTTTTTGTTTCGATATGGCAGCGTTTTATGCTAAAAATGAACGTTTTGGTCTCTAGAAATTTCACTAAAAATTTATTTCGCCGAAAAAAATTTTGCGCGTGAAAAGTCGATCGTTCAAGCACAAGAGAATTTCATTACGAACATTTTAAAAAAATTTGAAGTAAATCGGTTCAGTAGTTTTCCGTCAATCATTGTCACCGCAAAGTCATTTTTCAAGAAACACCATTTCGAGATATTCGCGTTTAATGTTTCAAGTTCAGTTCAAGACCGCAATGAGGCGCGCGGTTAGGAGCGCTGTAACTTTTTTTCTACTGCTCCAATCTCTATGAAAATTTGGGAAAATGTTCTCAAGGAATTGTTCTTTAAGATAAAGCAATAAAAAAATTTTCGATTTTTTGAAAATAAAAAAGGTATATAACCCCTTAACTGCAAGGGCATATTACCTTACCTTATATTACCACCTTAAGTATGCTTTCCTTCCTTGTTTGTTAAAATTGTATTATTAAATATTAATTTTTTTGTATTTTATTGACTCCTGCTCCTGCCATGGAAATATTCGTCCCGCTCAACAAATCCGCTTTGGTATCCAGAGCCTATATTAAATTTAAAGAACTTTTTTTTTTGTCCATCCTTATCTAAAAGTGGTTTATTATCGGATCTTCTTAAGGTTAGACCCGTTCATTCGCCAGGCCCAGCCAGGATATACTATACTCTATATAGTATGTACTATAACTTTTATGATAATGCACATATAATCTAATACTTTATTCCTCTAAGGATTGGTCAATTGTATTCGGTATCTGCGATATTTTTGTATATATGTCCATGTATATACATACATATATATATAAAATATATGTACAATTTCGTTAAATTCCAAGGATATAACTGCACATATAACTATAACTTAAGCTCCGTTCGAAGTTTTTTATCCCTTCTTGTTTACATGTAAAAATTATATATAAAGACACGAAATTTTTTTTGACCCAAAACATTTTGTTTATTCGTTTTGTTTTGTCGTATACGTATTACATTTTACACATACATTTTGTATATTCCTGTCTGTCCGCCGCGCTCCGATCGAAAATTCGCTTGAAAAGTCGCAAGGGATGGCGGAGTTCTGCATATCAGACAGTCGGTGCACTTCGCCTAATGACACCTTTAACACCATTATAGACCTTGTACCAACAGAAACAAAAGGGACCAAAACGGACAATCTCTCAGCGATGGGGCCGAGATGAGGCACGATATGAAAGGGAAAACTG